CTTTGAGAACACTACAGAAGATGTCCGACAAGCTGTTGCTGCAGTAACTTAAAAACCCATGCAATGCTTTCAACATTTCAAATGTTTCCTCCCTCCTGGTAGATTAACTTTCTTGCAAATTTTATTCCATCCTGAGGAAAAAACACACACACAAAGAAGTTATGGATGGTGTTAGGCATTTGTTTTTCCATACCAGATAATAGGAGGGAGTAATTCATTTTTTCTGACTCATTCTTCAGAATTCGAATGAGTTGGGCAGCAGTTCCCCAGACTCACACAAGGCACAGTTGGCTACTTTGGGAGCTAATGATCCAGGTGGAAAATAGATTAGATGGTCTTTGCATAGCCTTACTATTTGCACAGCCTTATTATTTGAAATTCTCCATTTCGGTTTTATGTACTCTGTAGCATGCTTTGTCAAGTCACAGTGTTTCTTTAAACATGGTCTTTGCATAGCCTTACTATTTGCACAGCCTTATTATTTGAAATTCTCCATTTCGGTTTTATGTACTCTGTAGCATGCTTTGTCAAGTCACAGTGTTTCTTTAAACAACTTTCTCTGCCACTGGAAACAATTATTTGTTTAATTTCATACAAGAACAACAGGTTTCTAGAAAATGTGTACAGGCAAGCGTGAGTTTTAATATGTACATTAATATTTACAGTGCATATGGAACAGCAAAATGAATATAAATTGACAGTATATCTACTGAACCATTTGGTGGCGCTAAATAGCTTTTTAAAGAGAATCAGTGAAAGAAATATAAATAATTTCACAATGTAGTACTTACCTTAGATTGTTTCTTGGTTATGATATTGCTTTTCAAAATAAATTCTTAAATTTTTCACATTAACAGTGCTGTTAAAACAACATAGTACACATGCAATGATATATCTTGTGAAAAGTGAATCTTAATTATTTCCTGTAGATTATCAAGCATACTTAATGACTATAACAATGCCAATTCACTTCAGATTTCTTTTAGCCTACTGTATCTCTTGACCCAGGTTCTAAACACATGTCAGAACTGACATTACAAAATGAAGCAAAAGCCACAACATTGCCATGGTACACAGATACCACACTCTTGCCTTTCTTACAAGGAATGTATGTATGTATGTATTTAAATTTAGAGGCCACCAAACTCCAGATGATTGTGAGTGCTTACAAGTCTAGCACAGCATATCAAAAAGCAAGACTGTCACATAGCATGACAATCTTGTACAGTTGTTAGTAGCAGAATTCTGTTCAGTGGCAAATCCTGGTTGGGACAGAACAGCCATGGCCTCCACTTTCTGTGTGAACCATCTTCTAGAAGATTCAAAACCCTTTACCATCTGTGCAGTAGCCAAATTCTGTGTGGCCACAATGAAAATAAGGCATAACTGGTTACAGAAATAATCACGTCTGTTTTATTTATCACTTTAGGTTTAACACATACTAGCTATCTTGTTTTTAGATGATATATATTTTACTTCATAGTCCGTAATATTTTAGATTTATACTTGCACAGGTAATTAATGCACCATTATAGCAGTGTATGTCACATTTTTATGTGCTATTTTATCTTTGTTATGCTAGAATTTTGTCTCATCTATTTGATTTTACCTTCTTGTTGTTTTTATTTTTGCTGGTCATTGACCAAATAAACTATTATATATATATATGTCATGGCTTCCAGAGACATATCATCAGTGAAGGCACTTACATCTGTGCATGTATTATTTGCTCAATCAGGAATAACTGAAATTAGTGAGGCAGGTCTTCCAAGTGTGGGAATGGTCTATCCACACTGCATTGTTTTAGCAAAATCACGCTTGATGCAGGTTTCAATATACATTCCTGTTCAAGGGTGCATTCATATAAGCAGTTTATTGCTAATAGTATTATGAACTCAAATATACCTCTGATTTGTGCCCATGGTTCTTGAGCTATCTGAGTTCATGGAACTCCCTGGATGGATCAGGCCTCAACTACTATATTATTTAAACTGGAACTTGTTAAGTGTATATTTATTTCCAAAGGGTTGTGATGCATTTTCCTGACTTCTGGTCCATGGAATAAGGATAGTTGCTACCATTGCCATAAATTTTTCCAGTGGATAAGAAATAGGCTGCAAGAAGTTGTCTCTCTCCAAGTTACTTACAGGTAGTTCTCACTTACCGCCTGCTCATTCAGTGGCCATTCAAAGTTACGACAGTACTGAAAAAGGAGATTTATGACCAGTCCTCGAACTTGTGGCCATTGCAGCATCCCTGTAGTCATGTGATTGTGATTTTGGGCGCTTGGCAACCAGCATGCATTTACAACGGTCACAGTGTCTATGGTTACATGATCACCATTTGCAACCATCACAGCCTGCTTCCAACAAGCAGAGTCAATGGGAAAGCCAGCAGGAAGTTGCAAATCATGACAATGTGACATTGTGCTTAATGTCCATGGTGATTTATTTAACAACTTCAGCTGGAACTGACGTAAGTTTGGCACAGTCACTTGATGTTTCACTTTACAACCGCGTTGCTTAGCAATGGAATTGCCAGTCCCAATTGCTACTTCCTTCCCTTTGGCCAGCTTATTATAAATGCCAAGATACCTTTCCAATAAGCATTTTTCTTCACCTTGTGCTTGCCATAAGACACAAGTGGAGAGCGTTAGTAGTAATATATTAATGTTTGATTTCTGTTCTTTATTTTAGAAATCATAAATACCTTGCTTTCTGTAAAGGAAGCCAAGATTTTCCTCCAAATAACATTTGCAGAATACAGCCAAACATTTTTGAACATGAGAGGATGGGCAAGTGAGGGATGGAGCCATTAATCTGCATGTAAGCAAGTGGCTGGACTCTGCACATTTGAGTCCTCATTCTCAGGCAGACATGATGGAACTGGCTTCTGCCCCTTTTCTGCTTCAGGGTGGATATGCACCCTCTAAAGTGTTTGCCTTACAGCTCAACAAAAATATATGTATTGGTGTCTTTCTTTTTTGCAGACTAGGAAGAGCTCTTTCTCCTATACATCAAAGATTTCTTCCCCAGTGTCTACCGTTATCACATGGAATAAGCTAGTCTAAGCAATTCCATCTAAATATAGCAGCAGGGTATGCATACTTACCTGGAAGAAAGAACCATTACACTCAATAGGATTTTGTGTGGAGTAAGCATCCATGGTTTTATGCTTGATGAGCCTAGCACAAATGTCCAGTCTTCCTGTGTTCTACTATTTCATATCTTCAGTTCATCTCTGTCTTGTTTTTATTGTTTTATCTTCTTTTTATTTTCTTTCCTAATGCAGCTTCCTTTTCATATCAAGCCATTACAGTCTTTTCTCCACCTTCTTCTTGTAATAGAGGATGGGATATACATAAATGTGTTTGTACATGTATATGTCTATATATGTAAGGGAAAATGGTTTATATGTGAATATGCTGTTGCGTGATCAACTATTTTTACAGATTATAGGCAATTAATTTCAATATTGTCTGTAAATATTTTACAGAAAATTTACATACTTAAATTACTTTAATATTTTCCCTGCTCTTGCTTTTTTTTTAGTGAGATCTCTTGCATGTGTGTGTATGTGTACATGTGTGTGTGTGTGTATCCTGCATGCTGTATGTGTCCATGAAGCAAATATAGTCTGTTAGCTATTGCTGCTTTTGTGGGTTTTTTTGATCAGGATATGTAAGGTAATATTTGAACTGAAGCTGATATTATGTTTCTCATTTTAACTTGACTTACACTTAGATGAATAGGACCATACACTAGAGGCACATTATCTGTTCCAGTCCAAAATTACTTGAAATTATATAATAACCTGATTTTGTGTAGATACCTTCAGCCAAGATCTTGTGCTGTTTCTGAAATTTTGATTTAGACATATACTGCAGAGTGAATATGAAACATTCATCTTCCCATGGCTAGTTGCCATGGGAACATGGTACACAGTGCAGTGTCATCCAATTCTGGTGATTTCTGCAGTAGTTTTTTGTTGATCTTCTTTCTTAAGCAATATTCACATAACATAATCTTTGCAAAATATTCTCTAATGACTTACATATTCTACCTATGTGCTGTTTCCTACTGTATTGTTTTCATTTAATGCATGTTTTAAAGTGTTTCTTAATTCTTACATTTTGTACTTATTCTGTAGAATTGAAATGGTATTTTACTAGCCCAAACTTGATGTGTATCCCAAATAAATAAAATATTCTCATTCCTTACTATGAAAAGAATAATTTGTTGCTACAGAATGTGAGCTCACATTAATTATTACAATTCTAGAGAAAAAGTCTTCCTCTTTCTTTCTTTCTTTCTTTCTTTCTTTCTTTCTTTCTTTCTTTCTTTCTTTCTTTCTTTCTTTCTTTCTTTCTTTCTTTCTCTAGTCTTCCTTGGAGTAGATCAGATAAGAAGCTGGGAAGTGGGGAAGCTTTTTCTGCTTTTTTTCTGAAAAAAAATATAGGGGAGGAAATTAAATGTATCCAGTCTTAATTTTTAATCCATTTGCTGATTTAAGTTCATTTTGCGATTGCAGTGTGTGCTATGTGTTCAGTGCGCACTGCGTTGTGTGTAATTTACTTTATTCATACAGTTAGAAGGCTTGATATCTTTTAAAAATATAAAACATGTAATTTAGTCGTACAATAATTACCTTAATTGAATTTACTTTCAGATATTTGTCAGCTTTATTTTGGTGCTCCTTTATGTTTCCAAAGTTCTTTGAGTCAAAAGTAGATCCACTGACTTCTATATAAAGAGTCAGAAGCAGACAAGCTCCTCTCCCATCCCCAAACATTTAGTCTTTGGTAAAAATGGCAGAAATGCATCTTGGTCTTTCAGTAGAGAGTGGTACTACATTGCGTGTCTTCCTCTGTATCAGAACGGTTGTGGTCTGATATACTAAATAAAAGCCTTCCTATTATACAAGTTGCCAAGGGTTTATCCTGATATGTTCAAAATAAAAGAACATTTTAAAAACCAGCAGTTCATTGAAAAGGGCAAAATATAAACAGTTAATGAATAAAAATTGGAACTACTCAACTTCTATTTTACCTTAGTTTGTTCCAGCAAGAAGGTACTGTTCCAGGTAACTGTAAAGAGTGGGCTGAAGGGGCAGGATTGAAACTTGAGATTGATAAAAACATGGTCAGGGACTACCTATATACTTTGAATGAGTTGATTGATTATGTGCCATCGAATAAGTGTTGACTCTGAGCGGCCACATAGATAGGCTTTCTCCATGACTATCTGCACTTAACATTGTCCTTCAGATCTTCCAATGATACACCTATTGCCACTGTAATGGAGTCATCCACTTGGCTGCTGGTTGACTTCTTCTCTTTTCTTTCACCTTTCCCAGCATTATAGAGTTTTCTAGCAAGCTAGATCTTTGCATTATGTCATAATTATCATAATTTTGCTCCATTACCATCTTTTGGTTGGCTATTCCCTACAGTTAGCAGTCTTGGCTTTTGAGCTATTCTGGGGATTCCTCTCTTTATTTTTCATTTTCATTTTCATGTTTCATGTTTCATGTTTTATGTTTCATGTTTTATCATTTATCATATTTATGTTTTATGTTTTATCATTGAGTTATCCCAACTATATTGGTAGTTTATTGGTGGGAGTAGTGCTATTTTCACTCCAAAATCAATATTTGGAGAATAGAATAGAGTAGAAATATTTGATTAGTACATGTTAATGAAGGTGTGAAGTCAAGGTCATTGTTGAGCTGAGGTGTGTGAGAAATTGCCTTTGATTATCTATTTAAATGTGTTTTGTTGTTATAATTTATACGTTTGAAAAACAAGGACCACAGGTAGTTTCATTAGCTCCCTGGTTTATGAAGATGAGAACTCATGAACAAACTGATAATTTTGGACTGGCCAATTTAATGGACAAGTTCTTTATTCTTCAACTCAGTTTGATCAGTGAAGGTGCAGAGTGCATATTTATTCCCAAATGACTGTTTCTGGGGGAAGCAGCCACTAAAACCAGGCAGGTGGTATTACAGATGCTCAACAGTTACTTCACAGGGAGTATGATCCAGGAGAGCTATATTATACAGCAAGTATGGAGTATATACAAGAGCAAACATATTGGAGAACACCTTAAATGTCAAGCTAAACAAGCAGTCATCAAAAGTAGTAATGGCTGAGCTGCACTGCAAGCCAAGCTTTTGTCCAGGTAAGAAAATACTTATTTGTGAAAATATTTCAATATAACTATTCAAAGAGCACTTCAGCTTCTTTTTCTATAGTATCAAATGATTTTATATTCATGGTGCACTTATATTGGTCAAAGTGCCTTTAGGCAACATCAAAACAAACAAAAAACAAAGTAAAAAGAGCTTGACACAAAGTAGTACATATGGGAAATAGAAAGTGTCTGAGATGCGTCTAAGTGTCTAAGATATAGATTTATTTATCTTAATGCTATGCATGTACCTCAGCAACAAGCGGTAAAAATGTGGATTAATGACTAAAAAGTAATTCAAGAAAACGACCTGTGCATTAATAGTTCCATAATCAAGTACTAGTAGGAGTTAAAAGCAGAGGTATGGAATAAAAAATGTTTCCAAAAAGGTAGAGAAAATTTTGAAAACAGATTATTCTTGTTACAGTATTTTGTATCCTATTATCCATGGGAAGGAGGGATTGATTTTTAGATACCCTGGCTTCCATAATCCAGAAAGGGTTTGGTAGCACCTTTTAAGACCAGCAACTTTATTTAAGGCATACGTTTTTGTGAGCTACAGCTATAGCTGGACAAGGCCAGATCATAGGAGTTAAAGAGCTTTCACATTTCTTACAGCATCAGCACAAAAAATATAAAGTCTAGCCTTTTAAAAACATAAACATGTACTAATATTTTCTTATGAATTCATTTCATATTTAACTCATAAGAAGTATATTTTATAATTTTTAACCCCTGGACTCATGGATTCTCCAGAACTGGATATTCTAATTCTTCATTCTACAATTTAGATATATAACTGATCCTAACTTTCGTTTTACATTTTAATTCCTTATAAAATTGGATTTGTTTCAGTTCAAGCAATGCACCTGCTAAAGCATCCAGGACATACTGTTTAGTTAGTACCTGTTCAGTTATCTATACAGCTAAGTGAATGTTGTAGGTAAATCATATTTAAATAGCAATCTCTCAGAGTCTTTAAAACAACCAATCAACTGATTTAAAGTATTGATCCCTTATTTGGCAAAAGCATTTCAACTATCAGTACATATTCCCCACTATTTTCAAATATGGTTTATTCGACAATATCAGTTTATCATATGAGTTGGGATTAAAACATAATTGCTTACCTATTAATGACCAAATGCGTCTGGGACCTTTCAAAGCTGGAGATAAAGATTCCTTTCTAATATATCTGGACTGTAAAATCTGCCAAGATTTCAAGGTATTATTCACTTACTCTCCAAGAAGGCCCAGAGAGAAGAATACTCATAGAAGGTCTTGCTCCAGAAAAAACATAGATGTTAAAATAAAAGCCCAGTGATACAGTTGAAAATCTGATACGTTAAAGCCACTTTCATCATAAATAATCTCAGTTTGGCCATGGATATTTGAGGGGCTTTAGCTTGCCGTAAAAAAAATCCTCATTAACTTATCTATCCATGTAAAATATCTAATGGGGAATAACATTAGAATCCTTCTTAAAATATATATTAATCTTGCCCCAGAGACAAAGGGGATGATTATCAAATTTGCAGATGACACAAAATTAGGGGAAGTGGATAACACTTTAAGGAGAAAGAAAGGATTTAAAAATATCTAGATAAGGCTTGAACTGCAGGTTGAAATGAAGAGGATAAAATTAAACCACTGGAATAGGCTGCCCTTCAAAGTAATATATTCCCCTTCAATGAGGTCTTCAAACAGAGGCTGGAGAGTCATCTGTCTGAAATGCTTTAACAGATCCTTCATCAAGAATAGGGTTGGACTCAGTGACTTCTGAGGTCTCTTCCACTGTTGTGACTGTTATTCTATGATAAATCTAATTGCAGGAAAAATTCATTGGAGCATTACAAATGTAGTGTTTTGAAGGAATTCCTTACTTACTAAAATTTGAATATACAAAAAAGGTCCATTGAGTATCCATTGCAATGCATTGGCTTATTCCATATGGCCATAGGAAGTCATTGGAAGATTTTTAGACATCTGTTTCCACATTGTAA